TGTATATATAATATATATATTTTTTTTTTTGAGATTTAGTAAATTTAAGGAACCATGTAGTCTAAGAGAAATATTTCTCAAGGAAGGTTTTATTTTCAACTTTCTTTTCTCTATTTTTCTTTTAAAAAAACCAAATATACAAAGATGAATGATGATAAATCTTTTTAAAAAGTCTGTCCAATCCAACATTATAAGATTGAACTAATTCACCGTCAAATTTTGTTGATATTTAACTTGATTATTCAATAGTATCAATGCATCATTATCCTTGTCACCACTATTACTATTATTGTTGTTGATTTGTTCGAGATATGATTTCTTAAACATAAGATTAACTTTCTTATGAATAGCATCGATCAATTTGGCATATTGTTTTAATTTTTCATCATCAATTGTAGGCGCTGCAGTTGTGATTGATGTGGTGGTGGTTTTCGTTACTTCTTCTCTATTCAAATTCAAGCTTGCAATACCATTAATTAAATCACCAACATCATCTTTATTATTGACATCCTTCTTCTTAATATTATTTTTATTGCTTGTATTATTTACAGGTCCGGCCATTAAATTACTCAAACCGGCCTTTCCAATCATTATATCCGTAAACCCATTTCCAACATCATTATCACTATTTTCAATACATTCGACTTTAATAATATTATCTTTATTGTTGTTGGTAGTAGTATGAGGTGCTTCAATCTTAATTTTGCTATCAATACCAAGTGCCTCTATCTTCTTATCATGAGGTGATCGCTGTAAATTTACCATTCGGTGAGTATTATTTAAAAGGTTAGAATCCTCACTATTCATATAAACTGACATATTGAAAGGATCGATAGGATCGAGGTATTGTGATGATGACGACGAATTAGAGTCATTTGTTATTGGTGGAAAACCAGGAGCGGTACCATAAAGATTTTGTTGACCGGTGGAAGGATGTGATGATGGCCAACCATTAACACTATCTTCTAAAGGCGGACTTGGAATTGCATTATCAGCTGGATTATAAAGATCAGTTTGCGATGGTATAATATTTGGTGGCAATGTGTCAGGAAAAAGATTATCCATAACTAAATCATTATAGATTGGAGTAAAAGCATCAGGTTGCAAAATAATTGATGCTAAACCACTATTACTATTACTATTACTATTATATTGATGATGTTATTATAAGTAGTTTTCGTTAATCGAGCTTTACAATTAATATTTATTTATTTAAATAATACGTATATAATATACTGATATTATATTGATTGAAAAAAATTCCATAAAAAAGAAGTTTGTAAACTTTTTGAGTTAAAGAAAAAAAAATTTTTATTAATATGAATTTTAATTAAAATATTCATGTCCATTAGTTTAAAATACGCTCAATACCACTTTCAGAAGTTACACAACCTTGTAGATCAGATCTTAAATAGGAATATGTTCATAATGCTTATTTTTTAATTGATGATTCGCCCCTATGAATCAGCGAAATGATTGACATATTCATAGTATCGACGGAGGAGAATTGACCTTTATGTTTGTGTGAAAAATTATGCTCCTGCCCTACCAGATAATTTTTTTTGCAGATAGGAAAAAACTCAAAGGTTATTGACATAGATTTTTTTTCTTTGCTTATTTGTATTGAAAAAAAAATCATTACTTTGGGACGTAGGTTAGTATTTCCGCAGCAAGTTTCACTCATAGACGGATCATCAATTAAAAAT